TCAGTGGGGAGGAGAGCAGAGTAATGAAGCCAATTCAAAGATGGGGATTATTAGGAGGCCATGAAGCTTCAGAAAAGCTCGAGAACTCTGTTTTTTTGGGGGCCAAAGCCGAAAGGGCCCATTTGGAGCAACGTGACGCAGAATATTTACAGGATAGGGCTCTGGTACGTCTTGAAGTAGATAGATAGCAGTGCCCATAAAAAATCTACACACCCTTTAAAAATCTAGGTGTGGTAAGCTGGTGCCGACCTATCCAAACAGAATTATGACTGTGACTCAAGCGCCACCAGGTTCTAACTCAGGAGTGGGGACACTTATCCAACCCAGTTTTTCTATGTTTTTATTTGTAATTACTTTCCAAAATGGAACTCTTGGTTTTCACTTGTAGTTTGTGTGTTACAATGCAGACAGGTAAAATACATTCTGATTTAATGCTATTTAAATCAATGGGGGCAGTGTGGTGGCTCTGTGGCTAAGGTTCTGCGCCTGTGGCCGGAAGGTTGCTGGTTTGTATCCCGCGGCCAGCAGAGGAATCCTACTCTGTTGGGCCCCTGAGCAAGGCCCTTAACCCCAACAGTTCCAGGGGTGCTGTATAAATGGCTGACCCTGCGCTCTGACCCCAAGCTTCTCTCCTTGTCTTTGTGTCTCATGGAGAGGTACAGTATGGGAAAAGACAAATTCCTAATACAAGAAATTGTATATGGCCAATAAAGTGATCTTATCTTATCTGTTTTGAAAAAAAATTGCTGCAAGACTTGAAGAAAGAATGACACAATCTGGTGATTGAACATGATGAAAGTTACTGACATGATCAGCAATTTCCAACTTTAAAACATACGTACTGTAACAAAAATCATTTAAATCTCATTCTGTTCTGGTGACAACCAAACTTAGTTAAAATACAGGCAGAACGTTCTCATTTGATTTCTATACAGAATTTCAGTACTTTAGCTTCATTTTTTTTTCCTTGACAGCAGAACTATTCCAGGAGACTAAGCTGTCTTTTTTTAAGTAGGATAATGCAGCCCACTTTTTCATGTTGCTGCATTGAAACCTTTTTCAACAGCAACAACAAGGTGGGAATCTGTTAGTTTACCACTATTTGACAGTGTTCTGTGGTAGAATTCATAGGAAACTAAGAATCGGTCTATTTCCCACGCACAAAAGCAGCAGGTCATGAATATATTGCTTTACACTGTCGTGCATTTCTCCATCTGTAAAAAATACACTGTTCCCAAAAGACCTAAACAAATGCTAACAATGTCTGGTTTAGTGCCTTGGTTTTATTATGGAAGTTACTAACCAAATTATTATTGTGTCATATTATTTTATTTTTGTGGAATGGCCCATTTGTGTTAAGCACAAAATAAACGACGTACATCAGCAGTTTTCTATGTAGAATGGATTTCCTCTACCACAACGTAACTGTAGCGTGGTTTCATTGGTATGTAAACGATACAATTTAAGAAAATTAAGAATTCCATTTGTTATACTGATAGTGTTGGTTTCTTTGTGCATTTTCCATCCTTTTCTTCAGCGATTTACCAAAGGTTTTCACTGTTTATAGAGAATAAACATATCTGACTTGGAGTCCTTATTTTGTGGACTGAACAGCTAACACTGCTGATTATTCCAGTAAATCTCCTGAACACGACACAAAATTATACGTGAATACACCAGTTGATTACAATGTGCCCTTATGGCATAAAGTAGTGCTTTATATTCACTGACATTAAAAAGGAGACAGAAATAATCAGATTACACTGTTAGCACTGAAAATAACCTCTTGCATTTCAGAAAGTACTTCATGAATACAATAAAGTTTTCTCCTAAGATATTTATATATGGATTAAATTTATTGGTCTGTTGCATCAGGATCATAAATTTCAGGGTTTTTTTTTTCCCAATAGCATTGGGAAGAGATATCCAATGAGAATTCCCAAGGTCATTGTAAGAGTTATTGAGCTTGCTGAACTGAACCTCTTTAAAGTACAAGTATTAATGAAAACCATAAAACTCTGACCTCCTGCCTTTAAACAACAGAGGCTGGATCACTTTCACCATGCGTTTTAGCATCTGCTTGAGTTCTGCAACCTAAGAATAAACTAATACAACATTCTAGCACATTTCCCACACTTTCATGCCTGAAATGATGTATGAAATACATTTACCAATGTTCACTTTAAACAGTAACAGCAGGATAGGACTGGATCATTACAAGTTGGAAAAAAAGCTTTCAAGAGTGGCTTACTGTGAAACTAAGTTCAGATCAACTTTCCACAATATTCTGTATTTTCCCAGCAGTCGGATTTGTCTCTAAGATCTGCAATTATCCACAAATCTATCAAAAAGTGATCATTTTAGACTGGGTTAAAGCACAGGTAAAATTGATGATGTATGATCTTTGTCCTAAAAGGATTAGAATGACAACAACACAATCAATATTGTTAGCCATTTAATGAATGATATCATATCCACAGTCTGTTAGTTTCCTGATCTGTGCATTGATGACATGAAGTG